GAATAGGTTTATACAATCCTATTAGAATAGGAATAGGTTTATACAATCCTATTAGAATAGGAATAGGTTTATACAATCCTATTAGAATAGGAATAGGTTTATACAATCCTATTAGAATAGGAATAGGTTTATACAATCCTATTAGAATAGGAATAGGTTTATACAATCCTATTAGAATAGGAATAGGTTTATACAATCCTATTAGAATAGGAATAGGTTTATACAATCCTATTAGAATAGGAATAGGTTTATACAATCCTATTAGAATAGGAATAGGAATAGAAATAGAAATAGGAATACTAAATAGTATCCTACTTGGTAAAGGATTGTATTCTAGAGTCTATAAATAGGGTCTCAATGTAATAATGTAAACAACAACAATTCAATAATATTCTTTTCCTATATTTCTCACAAATACAAATGGTGGTGGTGGAGGAGGAGGATTCTGTTGGCGTTAGCGCTAGCTAACCCTCAGACAGAACCAGTTCAATAACACAAAAATAAAGCAAATGTAAACAATGCACTGGTGTTAGCGCTAGCTAACACTCAGTCACAACATAGTGAACCCAAGCTTACAGCAAATATATGGAAAAATTGGTGTGGCTATGGCTGGCGTTAGCGCTAGCTAACTCACATACAATAGTCACACTAACATCTTACTCTGTATGACAACTCTAAAAGGAAATGTAAGAAAAATGGTTGATGCTGGTGTTAGCGCTAGCTAACAGACAAGCAAATTACCCGTTTTTCGATGATGTACTATACTTTGTGTTATGAATATGACTTCTTCAAATGGTTGGTCAATTAGGCATTGGCCAACAACTCTTATTCTGCTGCTGCTGCTCTTTACATGTATATATTCTTGTTCACCAATAATTTTCTAGTCGAAATACAGAATTACTGACTGCTGCAGAAATCCAAGAACCCCATGAACTCGTGATTGTGGATCATACGAATGCTCTTCTCTATGCCAATCACCCCTGAAACCATCGCCACATTAACAAAAGATAGGGGGGAAATTCAGTCTTTTCTTTGCTTTTCAAGGTTTTATGGCAGTTTGAACTTTTGTATAATAGTTTATCGACTTACCCATTGTGAGAGCGCTGGCGAAAATGACACCAGAGAGTATGAACACAATGATTGATGCTCGCTTTAAAATCGCGATAAGTTTTCTAATGAAGCATTGTCCCCAAAATCCAGCAAGAATAGATACACTCATGAGGTATAGAGCTGCAATAGGAGTTTAGTTATGGATACTGTTGCAAATGATCGATGCAGAATTTTTATGTCGAAATCTTAAGAAACTTATTAAGACTAAGAATATACCATAAGGAATTGGGAATCTCTTGAGGAGATAAAACTCCACAACTGATAAAGATGACGAGAACATCATCACAAATGTCGCTGTCGCACTAGCTACCTGTAGAAGTGAAAAAATAGGTCCTTTTTGTCAATTTTGGAACAGCGATATTTCTCTGTAATAAAAGCACAATAACATGATGTTATAGTGACTGATTTGAATGACAATTATAGCAAAGTAATTGTTATTTTGAAAATGAACTCTTTTACATTACTCAAGTTGTTGGAAGTTATAAGGGCCCCTACCAACCCCTCTCTATTTTCTACTCAAATGTCCCCCGCCACACCTAATGGACTTAAATCGCGGTAAAGTTTAGATGAAATGACTAATTTTTAAAGAGGAAGAGACAGAGGTGACACCAGGTGCGCTAATTAACAAAGTATGTTCATGTGTTGACTTCTCAAAAACTATGCCGCTCGACCTAATCAAATTCCAATGAGGAAAATATGCAAATTGAATATCCCAAGTAAGCTGAGGTCAGCTATACGAATCTTCATCGTCCAAAATAGGAGATCCTAATCGAGATACGAAAAAAATGAGGATGGCCATACCTGAGGGATAACTCCAATCTCAAGAAGAAGAGGGCCAAGAATGAATCCACCACCAGATCCGAGCAATCCTCCAACAGTGCCTCCCAATATACCACAAAGCGCACAAAATATAAGGTTTGTGGCGGTCCATTGAATGTCAGCCTCACATATTGACTCTCGGTTCCCTTCTAGTCTCCTCTTCTTGCTCTCCTTGTACAATTTCACACATTCATATCCGAACACCGCCAGTGCTGCAGGAAACTGAAAACACAAATGCATTCAATTAAGACTCAACCTCACCATACAAAGATAATATAGCCGATATGACTCAAATACACGACAGGATACTGTAAGAACCAAAGTAGCACAACATTCGTAAATACATTAAAAAAAAAGGCAAACGTTTGCACACATAATAATCATAGTGAATACTTGAGATAATAGAATTATAAAAAGTAGCATTTGATATGAAAGATGTTCATGTACCTGTATTAAGTTGAGCACCCAGTACAATGGAGAACAAGCCACTAGATCATTCTGTAAACATGTCAAAAAAAGAGTTAAATTAGGTGCATAGCAAGGAACGTTTAACGGAGAAGTTATGTTGGCACATTAAAAAAAGAAACAAGTATATTCAAGAATTCACTTGCCTTGAACACTTGAAGAAGCAGAAACACGAACCATACTACAAAGAGCACCAGAATTCTCTTCAAATTAAGGTTGAACTTGAAAATTTCCTGTGAGATAAGCAGAATTAGACAGTTAAAATCAACCAGATAAGCTTAAAAAGGGGAGCCAAGAAAGAAAACGGATAAATTTGATCCATTTGATATGGTAAATTAACTCACAAGTGCGGTTTTCTCCTCCTTAGGGACCAATGGCTCATAAACTGTATCAATAACAACTGAAAGAACAAGGATCAAATCATTAGTTACTTCTACATAGTTTAAAAAACGAGAGAGGTATTTAGTTTTTCGATGACATACGTTCACCACGTGAATTAACTGGAACTTCTTTCATCGATTTCTGCAAGTTCCCCAAAAATGACAAAGATAAAAGACTTAGTTTACCATCAAATATATGTTAAGTACATTTGGGATAAAAATGATTGGATAAGTAGAGCTAACCTTGAGAATTGTTTCTTCTTTCCACATCTCAATTGCCTTAAAAAATGATCTTGATGAAGTCCCTATTACCAAACAATAACATTTTAAGCAATCATTAATAAAACTAATCATGGTGAGTGAATAAAATAGTTCAATATGATTGTTTATACCCATGAAGAGGATGATGATGAGTACAGTGATGAGCCAGTAGGGGAAAACAACACTGAGAGAAACACCAACTGTGATGCCTAACATGAGCATGGGCTGAAACAATAGAGCCAGATCATAATCAAGAATAGGTGCTTCTCTGCATGGATGTGGTACCCTCAAATTGTACCAAACTGAAGATGCTGATGCCCCCATTATCATACCTGTAAAAAAAAGCAAATCAACTTTCTAACATAATAAAAGATACTATAAAAGCAAAAAGACAAATAAGATCTCAGATAGCTCCAGCTATATCTTTTTTTGACTTTTGACTCATCCAAGTAATTCTTTTTTAATGATAGTGGTTATCAGGAAAAGGGGGAAAAGTTGCCGACATGTAACCTAGAGGTCACAAGTTCAAGCTATGGATCCATCAAGGCTGCATAGAATAGACCCTTGTGGTCCAGCCCTTTCCCCTGACCCCGCACATAGCAAAAGCTATGTGCACCGGGCTGCCGTTTTTTGATGGTGGTATCAGGACCGATTTGGATGTACCTCAACTAATTTCATGAGGTATCTATTAGTTCCCACCAGCACAAGTATCAAGTAATTTGCCTACCAAGGATTGGGTGATAATCCAAGTAACTTTATTTCTAAAGCTTGCACAATTGTCAACATATTTCACCAGCACAAGTTCCAATGAATATTAATCTTCTTATCTATATATGAAATGCAAAATGAAAAAAAAAATGCTTACATTTGGAAATAGCAGCAGCAGACTTGGTATCAAATCCAAGAAGCAAAGTAAGCATAGGAACAAAAATGCCACCTCCACCAACACCACCCACAGTACCACAAGCTGACCCCAAAAATCCTATCACAGTTGCCAAAACAATCCTCCAACTAAACTCCAATTCCTGTCACACACCATCACCAACAAAAGTCAATAAAGAAACAAGAAAAAAATCAAAAAAAAATCATAAACCAAATATCATTTAAGGTAAACTCAAGGAAAATCATAAATCAAACACCATTTAAGTTAAATTCAAGAAAAAACCAAAAAAACAACACCATTTGAGGTAAACTCATGAACCTTTTTTGCTCCATATCTATACACCACATGAGAACAAATGGACAAAGAAAAACCATAAAAACAAAAAAACAAACACCATTTGAGGCAAACTCAAGACCCTTTTTTGCTCCATATCTCTACAAGCCCATTACAAAGAAAAACCAAACACCATTTGAGGTAAACTCAACACCCCTGTTTTGCTCCATATCTCTACAGCACATTACAATGAAAAACAAGAAAAAACAAACCAAAACACCATTAAAGGTAACTGTTTTGCTCCACATATATATCCAACACATGAAGCAAAAGCAAAGAAACATGACAATGAAAAAACAAAAAAGATTGTAACTTTAACAACATTATAACAATAAAGATTAAAACTTTGATAATATTATAACAAGACACATCATTTACCGGCCAAACTTTGTCTTCAGATCCAACGGGTCGTTGCAAAAGATTAGAACTTTGATACAATTTTGGCTCAAAATCACCATTTTTGAAGTTCTGCACAAAGAAAACTGATAGAATTGCCACAGAAAAGCCTGCTAATAGATAAATCACAAAGCCTTTTGTAGCCATAATCCAAAATTCAATATTTTTTTCAACTAATAAAAGTTGGGTTTTTTCCCTAATGAACAATTTGAACGCCAAGAAAAAAATTTGGCTTAAAGAAAGTTGGCTGCGACATATTTATATTAGGACATTACAAGAATGGTAGAGAATCCTTTTGGAACTAAAAAGATATTTTTTTATTTTTTTATTTTTTTTTTGAGTCTGACGTTTTATTAAAAATGTATTTTAGAAAAATAAGTAAATTTCTTACTTAATTTTTTTCTTTTTTTGGTGTTCTTTAGGTAAGTAAAAATTACTGGCTTAAAATCATTAATTTATAATTTAGATATATATTATAAAAATTGGGGTGAAAAGCGATTGGAATGGAAATCATGGGCGGAACCACCTTTAACACCTTGTTTGCGTATTGTATTGTTAGTTTAAATATAATATTTGTTTCAATTGTTATTGATATTATATTAAATCGTATCATTTAAATCTATATAACGACGAAAAGACTTATTTTGTATAACGACTGATTTGGTGTGATCGGATCGATACCTTAATACATTTTATCTTTATTTATATGTAATAATAATATTTCATTTTTTATCCTACCTTTTCATAGTAGCTTTACCACATACCCTACTTTTATTATAGGTTTATCATTCAAACTATGAATAAGTAATATTATGTAACGACGGAGAACGATGCAGTCTATCCAAACATTATATTTATTAAAATAATACAACACAATATAACACAATACAATATAATACATTATGAAATAATACGTAACAATCTTCTAAACAAAGTGTAAGCGAAAGATGGTCTAGTTCATTATTCACCAATTATGTGGTGTACATGAGTGAAATATTACTTTATCTATTCCATATTAATAAATTTGTGAGTCATTGCACATTTATTAAGGAAAGTATTCAAGGACATAATTTAAACTATATTTTCCACTATTATTCTTTGTGAAATCATAAATATAATTTTGTAAGTAGTGCAATTTATCTCCTAAAAAATATCAAATTTCATTAAAGAAATTTCAAACATCCATCTTGCACTTTGAGTAATTCAATTATTTTAAATAATGAAAAAAAACTTCAAAAATTCACTTAATATGAAATAAAGAAAGTGATTATTATAAATGTATATTTAATTTTGCAACATTCTTAACATAATTGAGAAGAAAATTTGTATACTATCCACCAAATCTCTCTCTTCGCCATTGGTGGGAACAAAGGGCAAGGGTGCGCGGATGAAAATGAAATGTGTTGAAGGAAAGGAGTACACAATCAATATGATACGTTACTAATTCAATTTATTTTTTCTACTTTCATTTGATTAAGTTACTAATTCAATTTTTTTTTCTATTTTCATTTGAAAAGTCATGCTCCTCATTTTTAATAAATTTATTTTCTTAAATGATATTTTTTTCTAAAATATTTAATCAAGTAAATAGAAAAAAAAAATCTTCTGTACGGAACACATTCATAGAATTATTTCTGAAACAGTTTTATTTTTCTGGTGGGGGGAAATTATATTTATTTATTTTTGTCAAGAGTGGGGACATAAATTAATGGAGGCACATGTAACAACTTAGCAGTTTATGAAATAGACAAAAAATATATATTAATTGCTTTGTCAATATAATATTCGTATTTATTATCTTTCTTTGATATAAGACAATAAAATTTAAAAAGTTTTTTTAAAAAAAATTGTATTAAATTAAAATCAGACAAATAAATTAAAATAGAAAAAATATATGTTTTGATGGTTTAATAAAATAAATTAAACTATTAATATATTTTTAAATTTAATTTGGTTATCGTTATATTAGATTAGACTTAATATTTAACAAGCAACGAAGAAGTAACTTATTAAGCCTTACCTCCTTGTGCCCATAGCTTGACAAGAAATCACCTATATTTATCTTATATAACGTAACGTAATAAAATAATATTTTTTTTGATATAGTGTGCGGGTGGAACTTGAGCTAAAATGAATCCGTGAATGTATTTTTAAGTTGCATAGTTCAAGCAGATTAATTATTTTTTTTTGTAAGAAAGAAGTATTGAAAATATCTATTAACTTAACGAAAATTATTAGTTTTATCTTTAAATTATTGATACATTAAAAATATCATTTTATTTGACTAACTAAACTTAGATAAACTCCTGACACACCTATGATCTGCCACATGACATAGCAAGTGGTCTCAAACCCTTGTAGAAGTATGTGAATCTTAATGAAAAGACGAGAGCCGTGTTAAAGTACCTCTAAACTTGACAAGAATTTAGGGGTGTATTTCACTCATGTTATAAGATCGGGGATGTATTTAAATTTAGTTAATCAAGCAAAGAGGTGATTTTAAAATTGTCAATAACTTAGAGATGAAATTAATAATTCACGCCGAATTTAGGAGTTCTCAATAAAGTGGACAAATATATGCCACGTGGTGCTGCCCAATTCTCATCTAATATCATATATATATATATATATATATACACAAAGCTAATAAACCAAAAAAAAGGCAAAAGTACTTATTACCCCGTTCTGAACTTAAAGTTTTTTATTTGGTGTATACCTAAATTATATTCCGTTTTAATTATCCTGAACTTGTTTATTCCTCCATCGCGTACATTTTTATTGTCCATCTGGCGTAGAAATTGACAACACACTCTACTAGGCGCGTGAGGAAGTGATTTTTTGCCACATCATAAAGCTACAACAGTAAAAAAACGTAAAATTTTCATTTTTGTTTAATATTTGGCATATTTTAAACGAAAAATAGGGGAAAATGTAAATGAAAAGTAACGGAAACAAAGATTAACACTTACTAGGTAAGAATTTCAAACAAATTTGAAATTTAATCGACCAACTTCACGTCTAGAAAAACCCAAATCCAGAAGGAGTTCTGCGAAATCAGCTCTTATTCAAAAATAACTTTTAAACAATGAATTTTAAATTTAAGAAGAACTATCCAATGAATAAATGACATATAGCATTTTACCTAATTATTTTAACTATTTTAAAATCTATTTTGCGGCACCCTATCCCCTCCCTTGCAACCCCGCATCCTCCCCTGCAACCCATCTTCTTCAAGATACTTTTGCAGAAACAACCTCAATTCCCATCGATTTTTTTTAATCCAAAATTAATTTATTTTATTCCCAACAATAAAAGTCTTGTGCTGGCATTTAATTTGAGTTCTCCAGTACTAAATATTAATTTCTTGAAGATTTTCGGGTTTAGTCCGGAAGTTTTAGTGAGAAGCTTAGTCCAAAAGTTTTAGGTGAGAAGCCTATGTGAGAAGGTGAGAAGGTTTGATATTTATTTTTTGCCATATTAATTTATCTAAGTGGCTATTATTTATCCAGGTAGAAATTCACATCACCACTTTTGCCAGCTGTCACGCGCATGTAGTCACAATAGGAGCAGGTGGACAATAAAAGTGTATGCGATGGAGGAATAAACAAGTTCGGGGGTAATTAAAACGGAATATAGTTTAGATGTACACCAAATAAAAAGCTTCAAGTTCAGGGGGTAATGAGTATTTTTGCCAAAAAAAATAAAAATCCCTATTATTAATACTTTTTAAAAAAATTAATTAAACGTGAAGAAATATATGAGATACTGAACCAACCCTGACAGCATGTGATACAATTAATTTGTCTCATAACAATTATTTTGGTTCTTAAAAAGATCAAGAATTGGCTGTTTATAGAAAGCTAATAACTTTTTTCACTTTATTTGAATATAAAAACTTTATTTCCTCGGTTCCAATTTATATGACTTATTTTCCTTTTTAATCAATCCAAAAAAGAATGATATATTTTTATATTAAGTAATAATTTAACTCTAAAATGTCTATTTTATCCTTAGTGAAATAATTTATAGTCACACAAATTTCTATTATTTATTTTAGACCACAAGTTTTAAAAGTCATTTTTTTTCTTAATCTCTGAGTCAAACTATCTCACATAAAATGGGATAGAGGGAGTATTAGTTTATTACATTATAACTTTTTCAACACATGACATGCCTAGATTTAGATTTGTTTGTGTTTATCGTAGTACTCCCTTCGTCCACTATTAATTGTCATACTTTCCATTTTAAGAGTCAAACTTTTAAAACTTTGACTAACATTTTAAGATATATTTAATCATCATATTGATATGTAAAAAATTGCAATATGTAGTACTTTTCGTATAGATTTTGAATATCTAATTTTTTTGTTTAAGAAATCAAATTAATGTAATCTAATTTAACTTTGAAAATAAGTCAAATTGACTTTCGAAAAGCGCAACATGACAAATAAAAGTGGACGGAGGGAGTATTAGTTATATTTTTATAATTTTGTTATATGATTATTATATTATTATGATTTTTTTTAGATTTAATATTGCTTTTCTTATTAATGGGAATGTTTTCGTCATTTTTTTTTACTTGGATTTGATGCACTCGAGACAAAGGTCTTTCAGATATAGTCTTTCTACCTTTTTGAGGTAGTAATAAGGTCTGCATATACTTTATTCTTTTCAAACCCTATTTAGTAGGGTTTCACCAGATATGTTATTGTTATTATTGTTGTGTATAATATTGATCTCAAACTATGATTCCACGTATAAACAATTACCATGTTTATATGGTAGTTGTTTATATGTGGAATCATAGTTTCAATTATCGTATTATTAATTATTACTATTGTTTGTTATATGACCTTTTTATTATTATTATTTTTTTCATATTGATTTGATATATTTTATTTGAATGAAGTTTATCGTAAAAAACCATTTCTATTTTCACGAGATCAAAATAAAATTGCATACGAATCATCTTTTTTGAACTTCGCTTATGATGATACTGAATTTGTTATTCTCCTATACTCTCTCTGTCTTAATTTATGCGATACATTTTGGATTTCGAAATTTAAACAAATCTATTTTTTATCTTACATTTTTTTTCATATATCTATTTAAGATTTTGAAATTGTCAATTACTATGACTTATAGTAATTTTTATGTAATTTACAAATATATAAAATTTATTTTAAAAAAATTAAAAATTTCAACATAAATTCTCGATCAAACTCAAACTGTTTGACTCT